GATTCATTCCTAGAATGCTGTGGTGTAAATTCTCCTGAAATTACTGTTACAGATCACAGAGCTGCTCTCCAGGGTCCAACCCAGCCCGTGTTTGCATCAGGTTCTCTGGTGCGCGTCCTTCCTCAGACAGGATCAAATGCGTGATGGACGCGTGTTTTTGTCATGATGGGTCAGCATGTCCTACTTTACCGCAATGACAGACAAGAGGTGGTTACACGTTAGCATGGTGAAAAACGCACTGCTAAACAGAAGGCAAGATGGAGGGATTCTTTCTTTTTTGGTGGAGGGGATATCACTGGCCGTTAAACTGAAGGAACTTTGAACCTGAGGAACACAGATGGAAGACAAGATTATTGCTCTGTGCAGGGGGCACAGCGGGGGGAAGCTTAGGTGCGTGTCTCATGGGAGTCCGTCCTTTGGATCTGGGCTGGGGAAGGCACAGAAGGAACATGACCATGACCCCAACCAGAAGCCTCTAGAATGTACCCAAACCCAAATCCGCTGCTGTCTTCCCTTCTCAGAACAGACCGTGTTGCCTGGAGGAACCGGTGCGGACACGTCCATTCGCCTGGCTCTCGCTGGCCCTGCTGTAGGGAAGGGAGGGAGGGTTGGGAGAGGGGCATCGCCAGGGCTGTGGGAGTCAACGCGTGCGTGTCTCGTTTTTCAGAGAGGCCGATGCAGCTTGAGGCTGCACTGGACACCTACAAAAACGCGCATCCCCTGCCTCTCCAGAGTCGGAATTGGCTCTCGTCTGTGGTTCACTGGCTTCTCTAAAGCCCTGCTCTGGTTCACACAGATTTTCTCAACAACAGAAGGGGACGTTAAAAACATAAGGTTTGATCAAAGAAGCCTTTTGACGGGGAAGCACTGAAGACAATAGATAATGCCGTCGTTGGGTTTTAAGGAAAGTCTTCAGGACGGGCAGACCGTGGCCACTTGAATGGGTTTGCAGTATCAGCAGCCTATCGACGTTTGCCGGGACCAAGTGAGCAGGTCGATTTTCCCTGGGAGGATTATCGGAGAGGAGTTTCCGAAGATTGAGTCAGTATGGGGAGAGGCAAAAAGACCCGTTTTAAATCTAGGGCAGCTGTGGGAAGGGGAACGTGAACATCTGAGACATTGTGAAGAGCGGAGTGAGGAGTTGGGAACTTGGTGTCTGTGAGGGGAGAGGAGATTCTGCTCAGGACGAGCTCTCCGCATTTTTGGCCGAGTGAGGCTGAGGCGCTGATCTGCGGGGCATTCGTCCATAACCCCACTGCTTAGGAAACTTGAAAAGACGCTTTAAAATACACCACAAAGGCCAAAACAGCAAGTCTAGGCAAAAAAAACCACTCCACAATCACAATTAAAGACAACAAAAAGACGAACATCACATCAAATCAGAGCATCCCATCAGTGGTCAAGCAGAGGGTCGCCCAGCGCCTGGGGGGGGGGGGGTTGTCTTTTCAGCAAGAGTCCTTTGGGAGGGGCTCCTGTGGAGCGGAAAGAATGGGCTGTGTGTCCAGCTGGAATCTAGGAGGCCCGGGCTGCAGGGTGGGGGGATGGAGTCGACGTGCTCTTCAAATTCCCTGGAGCCTAGTGCAGTCGTTGTCAAGTCACAAAGCTCATGAAAGAAAAGGACGCTCACACAGACGAGCTGGGCAGAGCTGGTGGACTGCCAAGGCCAGTGCGGTCCAGCAAAGCCACAGAGTTGCTCGGAAGCGCGGAATGTGCCCAGAGGCATCGGTTTGGTGGGGCGGCCTCTCTCCAACCCGAGGGCCCCCGTGTGCCAGAGGGTAGTTGGACATTGGCTGGTGCGTCGTTTCCGACTTAGTCCAGGTCAAGAAGGGGTCACCTGGCCTTTCCAGACGTACCTGGAAGCCGCCCTCGACCCCTTGTCTTCGCTCCCTTCTCCACAGTCCCCTAGAAACTCTAATGTGCTCGTCCACCTGGCTTTCGTCTCTCTGGACATAGGTGCTAATCTGTGAAAATGTTTTCACTGAAATGGAAAAAAAAAGTGATGATGTGGGGGATTTTTTTTCATAGTTTTACTTATTTCTTGGAGAGAACTCTCTCACCCCGAAGTTCAGTCCTTTCTATCTTTGATCTGTCTGCACAGCCTTTTTTTTATGGTGGAGGTAACAGGTAATCATTTTTCATTTAGACGCCCTGTGTTGGTCCCTGATTTTTTTTCCTGGAGTGTAAAATCAAGTCTGAGAAGCACTCAGTGATCAAACTGCCACCTCGCCCCTGGGCCCCTCGAACACCACGTCATTGGCCTGACTGAACCCTGGCTTTCTCCTTGACAATGTCCTTCAGCTCCCACAGTCCCCAGTGACGAAGCCCACCCGGGGCCTCCCATGCTGTGTCATGGCCACCGAGAGGACCCTCCACTCCAGCTGGGCGCGTCCGCCCCCTTCCAGTTACTTCAGCCCTTCACTTTGTGTGGTCCTGGCTGCAGTGCCGTCCCATGCCCCCTCCGCCGGTCTCAGTCCCTTATCTATGCCAAGGCTTGGCTTAGGTCCCCAGCTGGCGGGGGCCCCGCCCTGGCTGCCCCTGTACTGCGGGCACCCTGAGGGCCCTCACCACCTCACTCGTTTTCAGGGGAATGGCTTCCTTCCCCATCCGACTCCTACGTTCTTTATGTCCACAGTCTCCTCGCCCTGTCACCTCATTCAGAAACGGTGAGGTGACCAGCCAGGCAGAGGCTCTGAGGGCCCTCACGCCGGGGCCACCTGGTGTGGGCACTTGAGCCCCACTGGTGCCTTAACTCAGATCCAGCCGCTGCTCAGAAAAGCAAATGCCGAACCCACAGGGCTGCTGAGTCCCTGGGCCTCGAGCATCCCAGCTCACCCTGCAGTTGTTCTCACTGCCCTGCCTACAAAGGTTACTCGGACTTTTATTTCCCAAAGGTCCCAAGGCTAATCCACTGGAAACCGAGCGCTCAGCACCCTGTGTTCTGTGCAGAGCGCTCGGCTTCCTACGTCAGGGGTGCTCGCTGCCCAGCAGGACAGAGGCGCCCGGTGAGCCCGTGAGCACAGGTGGGAGAAGTGCCGTCTGCAGGAGAAAGGTGACGTTTGCTGTGGATTGAATGGAGCTAGAAAACATAGACCTGCAAAAGCATTGAGGGGGGGACAGGTGAGCGACGGCAGTGACAGGGGTCAGCAGAGCGCGGGCAGCTGGCAACGTCTGCAGGAGTTCTCCACCGTAACACAAGCACTGATTTACACAAAGGCGGGGGGCCCGGCATGCAGCATGTGAACTTCCAGGTGTGGCCCAGTCGGGAGACGCAACCCGAGCCCAACCATGGCACACTTTCATTTTTCCGCCCATGTGGAAGTACTAACCCTTCATCCCCTTGCGGCCCCACATTTATCCCTTCTGTTAAGATAGTCTTCACTTTTTCCTTCCCTGGTCACCTCTGTCCTTCTCTCTACTAGCACCGCGTCTGGGCTGACTTGAGGGGGGGCTTGGTTCTGGGCTCTAGGCCACTTGGACCTTTTACTAATGAAGCAGCCTTCATATCCATCTGAAGTCCGGTCGTAAGTATGTTGTTGTCCCAAGGAAGTTCCCTGCTTTTTCACCCATAACTTGCGTTTCTTTTTCTTTCTACGAACCACATGGTCATTTCTGAAATGTCCTCTGGCGCTACCGCAAATGGGGAAGTCACTGAAAAATCCATTCTTGAATGAAGTGTTGTGTCTGTGATGCACAGTGGTGACTGTGGCACAGCTTCTTAAAATATATCTTAACATTTTGCCCTGGCTGGTGTGGCTCAGTGGATTGAGCGCTGACCGACAAACCAAAGGGTCGCTGGTTGGATTCCCAATCCGGGCACATGCCTGGGTTGCCGACCGGGTCCCCAGCTTTGGGCACAGGAGAGGCAACCACACATTGATGGTTCTCTCCCTCCCTTGCCCTCTCTCTAAAAATAAAATCTTTTAAAAATAAACTATTCTTAACATTTAGGTATATCAATGCTAAAAAAGAAAGTATAATAAGAAAGCAACTAATCATTGAGTGTCAGTAAATACTACATCTCATTTCCATACACATAATAAACTACCATTCGTGATACCACCTGACCCTACAATGTCAGTGTGGACAAAACAGGGTTTCCCTGTCCCGACCAGCCTTTGCGTCCCAATTTGCCATTATAAAAGATGCCCGTCACCGAGAAATAAAGCCCTTAAAAGAGTTTATTTTATTAATTTGTTAAGGACGTCTCAAGGTGCTAAAAGAGGACGTTTAAATGCGCAGCAACGTGCGTGCACGCGTGCACACTGCTTTGCACACATGCACACTGCTTTGCACGCGTTCCAGTTGCACTGCCATGAGGAGCAGAAGTGGGCGACACTTTCCTGTGACGGTGAATTCAATCTCCTTCAAGGAAAGTACGGGCGAAAAGGAAGGCATTTCGTATCAGCAAACACGTTCCCTTTGAAACAGCAAATTACACGTGCGGGGGGTTCCGGGCACACTTCAAAGGACCGTGCACTGGGAAGGAGAGCTGGTCTGTTTACTCTCACGGTCGCCGGTGAGGTTTTTCTATGTTAAACAGCCTTTGATGACTTCAAAGCATGTTTGAAGTCTTCAGCCTGCACGGCTCTTGCACAAAGACAAATATCCTTCTGATACTGTGCGGCTGATGTTGCGATGCACTGTATTATGAGGGGAGCCACCGTTCCCCGCATAACATGCAGTCGATGCCTTTGTGTTCAGCTACGACAGCGAAGGTCGCCTGACCAACGTCACCTTTCCAACCGGAGTGGTCACAAACCTTCACGGCGACATGGACCAGGCTATCACCGTGGACCTGGAGTCATCCAGCCGGGAAGAGGACGTCAGCATCACTTCCAACCTGTCCTCCATTGATTCCTTCTACACCATGGTTCAAGGTAAACCCGGTCGTTTTAAAACAGCACTGGCACCCAGATAGAATGTGGCACCCCCATTTTCTGAGGTGAACCGGAGGGGGGAGGGTGAAAATATAAACCTCTGGAGATACCTATAACATAATCTAATGTCCACATGTAATGTTTATTGAGTTATATACACATATTATAAAGTTATAGAAGATATAAAACTATACATTAACCTTGAAATAGTGACGATTGTTATTCCCATTTGATGGAACTACTCAGTTGCCACTCTTCACGTGCATCATCAGACCCTTTTTGATGATGTCACCCACACTGGCCCAGGGATCTGTGTGACGCAGTCGCCGGGAGTTTGTTCCCGACCCCAAAGACCCATTTGTGGAACATGGGAACTCAGCGTGTCTGCATTCTGGAGGCACGTATGTCCGGTGTCCCCATGATGGGGCCCCCTGCCACACTCCTTTCTGAAGTCATCCCGAAAAAGCCTGTTTCCAGTGGCATTTGCAGTTGTGAGGTTGTGGCCCTGAAATTAATTGCCAAATCTGAGTTAAACTTGTTGGAATCATTTTTTTGTTGTTGTTTTACAATTTTGTCAGGTAATCTCCACAGTCATCTAAAATCAGTGATGCTGGAATCAGTCATTCTCCGAGTGGTCCTATGTCATACAAACTTTTAAACCAAAGCAGCAGCCTTCAGTTTTATATGACAGTGTTTTTTCTGCCAAATGTAAGATGACTGGGTTTTTTAGTCAGTTTCAGGAGGGCTATCACCTTATATTTTCAGTACAAAAGGTAGAGATATGAAATCTTTTCAGAAGTTCATTGATAAAAGACACAGGATGGGGGAGGGGGTGCTTCTTCTAGAGATTGGAGGTGACATGCTGGCCTCCAAAAAGGCACATACTTGGCTCTTTGCAAAACACTTACTGCATTGCCCCTAGAGGGTGGGCCTTTATTCATTTGTCAGGCAAAGGAGAAAAAGAAACCTATTAAGGTGGAGAAGGGCTCTGAATTCCCCTAAAATTTTCCTTTAAAATAGCCAAACCTGTTACAGCATGAAACGCCAGAAATCACAGTTGTTCTATTATTTTCTAAGAAGACATCATTAGGCGTTTTTCATTTCCTTATAAATGGAGTCCAGTCGGCACCTGAGAAATCGACATCACTTCTAACTGCGTAGCCGACAGAGTGCTAATCCGTGTTGGTAGTTCGTGTTCTCTGCTCCTCGTTCCGCAGACCAGCTGAGGAGCAGCTTCCAGATCGGCTACGACGGCTCCCTGCGGGTCATCTACGCCAGCGGCCTCGACTCCCACTACCAGACGGAGCCGCACGTGCTGGCGGGCACGGCCAATCCAACCGTCGCCAAAAGGAACATGACGCTTCCCGGTGAAAACGGTCAGAACCTGGTGGAGTGGAGATTCCGAAAAGAGCAAGCCCAAGGAAAAGTCAATGTCTTCGGGCGAAAGCTCAGGGTAAGTAAGTGTCAGAGAGCAGGTGACAGCCGCCAGTCCACTGTGTCCGTGTCCTGTAGAGGACTGTCCCTGAGGGCCGCCCTGGGACTCATCTCCCGCCCACCCTCATCCGTCTGAGGCCGCACTCAGCTCTGTGGGACCTCTAGCTAACCGTCACGCCATCAGAGCAGTCACAGTAAAAGCCACTAGTTGAGAAGGGTTTTCTCAATGTATCGACGATTGAAAATAATTCTTCCCTGAGAAGTTAGGAAATGGCATAATCTCAGCCTGGATATCAATCCATTCTTACTTTACTAATGTTATCTTTAAAGTCTTACACTTTTCCTTTACTCACTCAGGATAATGGCTTCCGAATGTGGGGATGGAGGTAATTAAGGGCTGGCTTAAATACTGAAGGTTTTCCAAAGCATGAAGATGTATATTGAAAGTGATGGGCTGGCCATTGAAAGGTGGATTATTTCTTTGCTTTCTCAATATTTTTAAAGTACAGTTGGGGCACAGAGAAAAGTGTCTGTGTCAGAACCTAACTGCTTCTCCTCACTATCGATTTATGTGATTCTTGCGAGCACTGTAGTGATATTTCTGATTACGCTGGTGTACTTGATCTTCGCGACATGCTCTCTGCGTTACCTTGTTGGGCGTTTGTTCCCTCCGTTCCACGTTGAAGCGCCAAATGGATCTCAGAATCAAGCTGTGGTTTCTGACACCTATTTCATACTTAATCCAAGACTATGTAGACTAACTCCTAAAACACAGGTGACAAGAAAACCACTTCAGACCACTGCAGACTGAGCCCCCCTCATCTGGGCTCTCAGGAAGCAGGTTTCAGTGTGTCAGGTGACTGTCGGTAACCACTCCTAAAATTACTTTCCTCGCCATCAAACAACAGCACCTAAAGTCAGGGAGAGAAAACAAAATATGGAGCATACCATAAATGTCCTTTTTTTTCCTGCACCAAACATGGTTAAATGGTTATTATAACCATCCAACACTATTTGCCTTAACAAACCTTCAGGGTAAAAAAACAGCTACTATTTACTGTCTCTGACTACTTCCAAGACATAGAAATGAAATAAACAAGAATCAGCAGATCCAATACACACCGTATGCAAGTTATGGGTTATATTGTGATCCCACCTCAACTGCAAGGCAGGTGGTTGGGGCTCTGAACACGTGGTCGTCTGGATGCAGTGCCACGTGCTCCGACCCCACCCGTACCCCAGGCTGTCCCAGCTGGGCACCGAGGTCCAGCCCCTGGGGTCAGGGGCCTGGCAGGCAGGAGCTGGGAAGGCCGGAGGGGGGCCGGGTGAGCAGAGTGAGAAAAAGCAACAGAGCACTGGAGGGGGGGCGGGATTGGGGTTGAAGGTAGAAGGACAGACAAGGCAGGCTCAGCCTTGCTCCAGGTCACCTAGCCAGGGTCCCAGACTGTGGCCGCCATCAACTCTAGCTGCTGCCTTTTCTTCCGCCGACCCCAGGGCTCGGTAGCTGCCTACATCCCTCTATGCTTCCGCCACCTACTGCTTCTTCCAGGACCCCTGCCTCCTTGGGCCACGGCAGACTAGAAGCCAGTGCAAGGCTTTATCTTACTCAGATGTCCCTAAAGCAGGCCTGGTACACACACAGTCTCAGTCACAGGACTGACCTCCTCAGAAGATGCAAGGACACCGCTCACAGAGGTGCTCCTCCTTCTGCACCCCAAAAACACAGCCCTGAACTCAAAAACTACGGGTTCTAGACCGGCCTCCACTTTTCATTCATGATAAACCCTTTGGGAAAATCAGGACATCTCCGGAATGCTCATTTTCCTGATCTATACCGTGATATCTATTTCATGGTCTAAATAATATATTATCTAGGTACCATCTAATGATATAGTCACGCAGATAGAGCTACGCCGTGGGTCAATGAAAGTACCCTTTGCTTCCCACCATTGCCACGGAATCATGGGAGATGATGCGAAAAGGCTTTGAGAACCAAAGGCCGGGTTCTGTGTTCCTGGCCCTGACCTGGAGCATCTCAACCCTGTGGGCAGCGGTGGGGCATTTGGCCCCGCACGGCAGGCGGGAGGGAGCTGTTTTGGCTGCTGGTTAGAAAAGTGGCAGAGAGGGAAAAGCAGGGTGGTGCTTTGCCCAGAAACTCACATGACGGAATATGTTGCCCACTGTTCTTTGTGACAACCAAAGTCTTAGTGATTTTTTTTTTATAACACTGCTTTTTTAGACAAAAAGAAATTAGGAGGAGTCGAGGAAAGCAGGGAAAACTCAATCTGAAGTCACTGGTCCTATGTCTGATTCTAAATGAAGAAACTCCCTCACTTTGGGGAGGAGGAGACTGGGAGGCACAGGCGTGGTGTTGCCCGCCCTCTAAGGAGCAGCACCAGGACGCGGCAACCAGGCATCTCAGAGGGCGCACTGTTCAAAGCAGCGTGGGCCGCGCGGGCGGGGAGCCCCAGCCGATGTGTGCGAATGCTCTCCTGGAGACAATGCCAGGATGACAAGGGATGGTTTCTTCCTTTCAAGATAAGATTGGATGTGCCAGCTCCAACTGCTGATTTCATTCCTCAGTGGATTCTGCGAGAGAAATGCTAAGGAGAGAGTGAGGACAGGAAAACCTGGGCTAAGGAAGGACTGGACCTGGAGTCTGCCAACAGGGGAAGAGCGGGGACAGGGGACAAGAGGGACACTGGAGGCCACCGCAGCATCTGGAGCAGCTGAAGCGCCACCCAGGGAACACCTTCTCTGTTACCACCCATTCTTTCCTAGCAGAAAAGTTCTGTTTCGTTTTTAGCTACATGCCTGACACAGGGTGGACACTCAGACATTTATTCGATGAATTGGAGATGGAGGAAAAGCCAAGCTTATAAGCCAAGCCTATAAAAGCCAAGCTTACAGGTTATTTCACCTCCTTCTTCCTAAAGAAGGGGGTGGGGTCTGTGCAGAGCACATCCTTGCAAACGCTGGCCCCCAGTAAACCAACCTAACACTAGCTAGGAGACGGCATAAACATAATAGAACACTAGACACAAAAGTTTCAAATGGGTTAAAAGGGCAGAGATTAGGAAAGGGAAAATGATGTAGGACCCTAGAGACGTGAAGGCATTTTCCGTGAAATAGTGCAGTGAGGGGGAGGGGGGGTGTATACAGTCAGAAATGACAAGAAATAAAGTCGGGACAGAGATGTGGGAAGCACAGCACAGGGAAGATTAGACGGCGCCGTAGCTTATTTGCAGCTAAGTTTGTTTTCAAAAGACATGTGCATAACAGTTGCTGCAGGCCTTCCCCTTACAATGTTTAGAAAACATTCCTAATTTTTGTCAGCAGTGGACTTTGGGACCAGCCTTTAATCGGTTAAAAAGAATGTGTGGCGCTCTAATAATAAAACTCATCCTCTAAACTTGCCCAGAATTTAGATGCTCAAAGAGAAAAAAATTAGTGAATTATTTTTTGAGAGAAATCCTCAAAATTTGCAAGCCAAAACTGTGTTTAAAGGTGTGCCCACACACGATAGCACATTTAAACATGACTTTGCTGGTCCTGCCCACGTGACACCCCGTTCCTCACTTCGATCTGAGTGGCACAGCCTCGAGTGGGCGTCTGAGATGCTCAGTGACATGTAGAGAGGCACAGGACAGTGTGCAGCCAGCTGACGTTCTCACAGGGACGCTGGGGGTCACGGTGCCGTCACCGAGCGCACGGGTAATGAGCCCGCCCCGCCTCACTTCCCTCCACAAGCTCGGGACGAGAGAATATAATCCGACTGTGCCTGGTGTCTTTACACAGCTAGCCACTGTTTTCACGCCCGGCGTTCCAGGGGGCAGACAACTGCCCCTCCCAACATCAGAGGCACTTGCTGACTAGTGACAGCCATGCTGCATGTGATCTTTGAAAACGGGGCGTTTCCACGCTCCCGTAAAAGAAACGCCTTGTACCACGAGGAATTCCTGGTGGTCTGTTACCCGGACCCAGCATTTGGATTCCTTTGTGCATAGCTGGAGGTGTAGTCATGATCTGAGGGTGCGTGTTTTTCTTTTTTTAATCTCAGGTGAACTATGCCATTTAACTTGATATTGTATAAAATATCATAATAAAAACAGGATAAAGCCACTGGGCCATAGAATAATGCTGGTGCTTCATGACTGTCCAATAAAAGCCAAGAAAGGTTGCCGGGTGGCCTTGATTTCATAAAGGTGTAGTGAAGCAGGACTGCGTCCTAGGATGGAAATGTCCCTGGGCTTCGGCACTTCATTGACAACCCAGAGGAGATAGTTTGGGCATGTTGGAGAAGGATGGGGGAAGGATAGTGGGGGAAATACCTTTTTAGCATCTTTTGAAATTTTACATAGTGAATCACGGTGGCTGGTGTCTGGAAAAGTGAGGATAGTCAAAGCCGCGGTTTTTGTCGGGGATGTGGGAAAAGCACGGGCACGTTCTAATGCTCACCTCAGTCTTCAGTGTGAGGAGACAGGGAGGGCATCGCCTACAGTTTGTCCGGGTGCAGGAAGAATCCAACTTCATCCAGATGCTGGTTCTCGGCCGCGTCCCATGTGGAGGCTCACACAGTGGCGGTGGTGAGGACACCGTTGATTTTCACCGGGACGCGCTGGTGCTCTGCGGCCCTGCTCACAAACCAGAACACTGTCTGAGGCCCAGGCGCAGGGCGCAGGCAGTGGGGCAGGGGGGGCGCCGATCTGTCTCTTCGTCCTCTTCCCAGTCGGGAGCATCCTACCTGGTCTACAGTCCAGATTTCCTCTGCTCAAACCACAGGAAGTGCTGCAAAGATAAAGGAGGGCTAAGGAAGCCAGTCAGGATTTGAGATACAAATGAAAGTGACTGCAGAGTAAAAGAGGAACAGAACAGATGGGCAAGGCTGTGGGCAGCACAGTGTGGGAGGCTGGAGTAACCTAAGGAAGGAAAAAAGGGGCAAAGCTAAACACGCAGGGAGTTTTTTCCTCCTTTTTGATCACAATCTGAGAAACACAGAGGCCTGGGAAACCGCGTAAGTTGTGCAAATCTCTACGTAAGGCATCAGAAACATTCAAATCCGAGTGGCAGAGCTGGGCTCTGCCCGCTGAGTACTGAGTTCATTTATCAAGTCAAATCTTTCTACCAACTTTCAAATGTGTATTTGTAACATTAGCAGCTTCTTTCCAACATACACAAAGTGCTCTGCAACCAAAACTCATAAAAGTTCCCAGAATTCCCATCAGAGCCGCCAGGACGAACCCATTCCCAGGTGGGAAAACGGCAGGCCGGAAGTTTTCAGCGGGCCAGGCCCGGTCACCTCAAAGCCGTAGAAAGAGTCCGAACCCTCTGGGCGACCTCTGCGTTGACCTCTGCGTTGACAGATGGACAAAGCAGACTCGGAGGGGCCGGGAGCCCAAAGCCGTGCATCTTGCTTCTCCTCCTGATCAGGTCTGGAGGCCTCTGGGTTCCTGCCCCCAGCAGGCACGTGCCACCCCCACCCGCCACACCAGGGCACCCCGTTTCTGCTGTGGTGCAGTGGTTCTTGTCTCTTCTTCCCCATCTGGTGGCTCTTAAACAATAGGACCGGAAGATTAAGACGTCCTGACTTCCACCAGGGCTCTGCTTGCTTGTTTCCAGTGAATCTTCTCTCTGGGGGCCTCTTCTCCCCCAAATCGCTTTGCCTGTAAGGCATGAATGCTTTCTTTAGCTTTTATCTTTGCTTTTCCGTGGACTTCACAGTACTCCCCTTGAGCCGCTAATGGGAAAAGTGTAAGTGGAAGGAATATTTTTTTTGTGGGACTTGTTTAATGCTGATGATAGAATGCACAAATTAGTTTCATCTCACATTTTACATAAATATACATGTATATTACATGTGTACCTGTACATATATTTACAAATATACAGGGTAGGGAGAAATTAGCTTTACAGTTTTTTGTATGGAAAGTAATACAATAATTAATAAATAATAATACAAGAATAAGCTGTCCTGCATACTCACAACTGTAAACCTCCTTTTGTCCACGCTGTGTGTGTGTGTGTGTGTGTGTGTGTGTGTGTGTGTGTAAATAAGATGTGGTGAGTGTGTATAACTGATCGGCTGATGCTGTCTATCTAGAAGGCTGTAGCCAGGACACAGCCATGTGAAATTAAGATCTTCCCATTTAACTTTTAACAATCCCAAACGTTAACAAGGTGGCGTTATGTACAAGCCGCTACAGCCACACAGGTGCTGTGGAAGACCCGAGGGTGCAGGTGCTGGCCGCCCCTCGAGGGGGTCCCCAGTCTGCGAGCAGCGCGGGCCACAGTAACACGGAACTTCACCGAGGCTGCGTGCCCGCCCTGCGTGTGCTGGCTCGTGTGTACACCTTGGACCGCAGACGATGACGACGGAACGTGGCCAAAGACTCTGGACGTGGCACCGAGCCACACAGACCTGCCACGGCGGCGCGACGCCAGATCTGCACATCAGTCGCACGAGTCAGACCGTGCAGGCATGGGGGCAGAGGACCTGGGTCCCTGTCAGCTAACCAGATGTCAGCCGAGAAAAAGGCAGCCGAGAAAGTTGGGACATTGCAGCATTTGGCCAAAAGCAATGATGGTGTTTGCAGCCTCCTGCTATTTCAGCTCATTAATAATTTACAGTAATGGGGGTTCCAACTTATACTTAACTGCTCGACAAAGGGCTGCAGTCACCCTTGCCACTGCTTTATTCAACGTGGCCGTGATGAATCTGCGGGACAGTCACTTCCCAGGGCTCGTGGTGGGAGGGGCTCGGAGCAGTTCGCAGAGATGTCGCCTTTCCTGCCTGTGTCCTCACAAACTTTAAAGCAGATACGTCTGGGTCTTTTCCTTATCAGTTGCTCGAGTTTACAAAATGTAATTGAAAAGGTTTTGAACAAATGCCAGCCTGTCTTCCTGCTTCATGAAACCTTTTAAAAGAGCAGTTAATCTACTGCCTTGCACTTGTACCCAAGAAGTTGCTAAATTAATTTACTGACATCGAGAATCAATCACCATAAACGGTGTTTAAGCAACAGTGGGGACTCCGGAGGGTAGTCAGGCACCGGCTCGGGGTCGGCACGACTCATTTCACCCTCGTGATTGTGCTCCCACAGGTTAACGGCAGGAACCTGCTGTCGGTGGACTTTGACCGAACCACGAAGACGGAGAAGATCTACGACGACCACCGTAAATTCCTGCTGAGGATCGCCTACGACACGTCCGGGCACCCGACCCTCTGGCTGCCGAGCAGCAAGCTGATGGCCGTCAACGTCACCTACTCGTCCACAGGCCAAATTGCCAGTATCCAGCGAGGCACGACCAGCGAGAAAGTGGACTATGACGGACAGGGGAGGATTGTGTCCAGGGTCTTCGCTGACGGTAAAACATGGAGCTACACGTACTTAGAAAAGGTATGTCAGCACAGCGCAGAGAGAGGGGCACTGGCTGGTGGTTGTCGGCAGCCTCCCCGGGCACTACCGCGGAGGTGGGGGTGGGGGGAAGTGACGTGGGACTGTGTTCCATTTATTATTCTGAGTACAGACATGTGAGTCTCATTCGGACAGCAGTGATGAATTCCTACATTGGCACAGTACTTCCTCCTTAGTCAAGTTCTACTGTCCGAGACCCTTGGAAATGATTTATGCTGTGAACAAACAAGCAGTAACACTGTCCACCTGCCAAGCGTCTGCACGGACCACATTCACAAACTAGACCTGGGGCGTGTAAGTCACTTGTAAATCATCTCGACGCAGGGTCTGTCATGGAAGAAAAAGCCATCAGGTTCGTGTTGTGGCGGCAGAGCTGCACGTGACTGTGCAAAGTGGGCCCTGTGTACGCATGAATAACCAAAAGAGGCTACTTTTTAGGAAGCCACGCTTCCAGAACTCTGTGGCATCTCTCCTTCCTTTCGCCTAGAAAAGGCAAACATCCTAGCTTGGGCCTTCTTTCTCCCGTTCTTAAGAACTGTGAGCGATACCAAAGCAGACGTCAGATATGCCAAATGTGCGGTCGTACGATGTGTGGTTTGGGGTAGAGACTGGAGAGCAGAGGGGATGGAGGTGAAGGAGGGAGAGGGAAAGGGTCATCTCCCTGGAATTCCTTCCTTAAGAAATACGACCCACCAAAGAGCACACTCATGGGGTCCTTCGCTGGCCTTTGAAGCGCACATGAACCCTAGAAAGCCATTTGGTTTTGAGTTCTGCCCCCTCTCACACCTCCAAGCTCTCACCACCATGACAGCAGCCTGCGTGACACACTCAGCTCTGGACAATCGCTGCCTTCACGCTCACTCATTGCACACAGAGTAGCTTCTGCTGCGAAAACCCTCACATCCGCATCATTGTGCTCAGCTCACGTGATCTGGGTCCCCGGCAGAGGCGGACCACGCAGCCCCACAGCCCAGCCTCAGCCCTGCACTGGGGCTGTCCTGTCAACTCTGGTCTCTCTGAGAGCCAGTGTCAGCTCCATAGTTCACGGTCGGATGCTACTGTCTTCTGGCAGCCCCCCAACTTCAGATGCTGCCAGGAAGGACCCCACTCACCAGCCTCTCCTCTTGCAAACCCACTGATGTGCCGTCCTTAGAAAGAGACTCAGCCCTGAGACGAGGGACCACGTCTGTGTCCTCACAGCTGCCGTCCAGGCTGACCAGCCCTTTGTTGACAGACCACAGAGAGAGCCCCCTGCACACGCGCCTTCCTGGGGACAAACCCTGACACCTAGAAAGCAGTCCCCCTCCAACCCGACCAGCCCCGGGACCACTTCTCCCTGGAGAGGCTGGGAGAGGACCACTGCTTCCTCCCAGAACGCCTTTCCCGGCTGGAATCCATGACAGAGAAGAGCACCAGGAACAAAAACGTCCAGACCGCCAAATTGAGAGTGTGACTGAAAAATATTTAAGGGCATCAGATGGGCTTCTAAGTGACTGTGAAACTGCGTGCTGATTCCTGTGAATTCAGCAACAGTCCGAGCGTCCGTGGAAGAGCGGGAACTCCAGGAACCACCTGCGGGACAATGACCGTGCAGCCTGCGTGAGAAAGGGCCCTAGATGCGCCCACAGGGGCGGTGCTGCAGGAGCGGGTCCCACGGGCTGCCGTGGACAGTGGTGCACAGCGAGAGAATAAGCCCGAGCCTCAGGCATTTCAACCTCCCAAGCAGAGCAGAAGCCCCGGGAGGGCTGCCAGCCGAGCATCCTCCGGTTCGGCGGTCCTTCCCTGGGGTCTAACGGGGTGCAGAGGACGCCTCCCCGCGGGGAGACCCCTGTGCTCTGTGTGCCTGTCGAGCTGCCTCAACCAGCCAACGTATCTGGGCCTCATAAATGCATGTCTTTTGTCTCCCTGCAATTACTTGCAAAATAAGCAAAGCTAATTTTTATTTATTTATCCATTTCACAGTTAGCACCAAAGCAGTGTATGGTCCAGAAAGCATTTTTACCACATCTGCTGTATAGAATGGGTTTGGGACTCAAAAAAGGAGATTTCAAAATGTGGGTTTCATGGTCATCACAGATGCCATCCAAGAATTTGCAAACAGACCTGACCGATGTGGCTCAGTTGGTTGAGCATCGCCCAGTAAAGTGAAAGGCTGCCAGTTTGATTCCCAGTCAGGGCACATGCCCGGGTTGCAGGTTCAGTCCCCGGTCAGGGCACATATGAGAGGCACTTGATCAGTGTTTCCCTCTCACATTGATGTTTCTCTCCGTTTCATTTTTCCCTTCCTCCCCCTCTCTCTAAAAATCTTTGTTAAAAAAACTTGCAAACAAACCCAAAAAACCACATCCGGGTTCATATTTCTATTAAGGGCATTTATAGCTCTCGCGGGATTAATTTAGCAACGTTTGTCGACATTGATGCTTTATCCATTTGGGGCTAATTTTATGTCTCTCTTCATAAAATGATGTTTTGAATGCTTTGCTCCTCCTCCAAATCCTTTGAAAATTAAAACAGGATGTGAGAGGCTCTTTAGTCCAACGAGGGGAAAAGCCACCTTACTGAGTAACTGCTGCTGTGGGTAGCACTGCCTCCCCACAGGCTCTTTTCCCCTTGAAATACCGCCTCCGAAGCCACTGCCCGCACCCCCATTCTGACCCGCCCACGTCCACTGACAGTCTGCCACCCGGTGACAAGGGCCCAGAAATGGGCGGGACAGTCCCCACAAGTGGCCCATTATGAATCTCGAGCCACTGATCGTAGAACCCCTCACAATTAAGCATCCAAGCAAATTAGGCAGGGACTCGTTGGCAGCATGTAAGGTCAAGGGTAACTCAATTAAAGTGAAAATCATTTTCTCAAGGGTCTCCGTGGTCACCGCCCCTGCTCTTGCCTCCCCCGTGACAGCGGCTAACGGTGCACTCTCTCCTTGCAGTCCATGGTCCTTCTGCTGCACAGCCAGAGGCAGTACATCTTCGAGTACGACATGTGGGACCGGCTGTCGGCCATCACCATGCCCAGCGTGGCCCGCCACACCATGCAGACCATCC